GGACGAAAAAAAGAATTTCCCGTTGGAACTACCCCATTTGATTTAATATTTAATTAACAAACGAGTGGGCCACCTCAAGATGTTAAGAAAATTTTTTTTTTTCTTTTGAAAAATTTTCTTTTTTTATAAGGCACAAATTCTACCCCCATGCTAAGAAAAAAAACACAAACATTTTGTTTTCAACCCACCCTAATACTTATGTACTATTTTTTGTTCTAGCATTTAAATTAAATAATTTCTTATGATTCTGTCATATCATTTAGGTTAGGTTCAACTAATATAACGTTATTTTAGCTTTACTTCTGTACTGAGTTAAATAATAATTTAAATTTTTAACTAGTAATAGGAGTGTTATAATATGAAAACTATTATAAGCTTTAATTTTTTTTGTTGAAGTTAAAGTGTTCAATTTATTAGTAAAGAATACAGTAACGTAAGCTGCTCAAGAAACCGATTTCTGTCAAGGACTCCAATGAAAGAACGAATTGCTGAGGCGTGAGAGAGAGACAATCATGTTTGCGCAAGAAGTGATGACGTCACTGTACTCTTTATAATAAATTGAACTCTATATACATATACATGTATCTATACTTTTTCTGGCTTGTTGAGGTTAAAATTTAAGTAGGCGACTCAGGGAAAATATGAAAAGCTTTTAGACGCCCGTAAGCATTAAGTCGCAGAGGAGACGTCACATTGATGTGTGCAAGAAAAATAAACATCGCAGATAGGTTTTAAACGGTTTTATGTATCGGGAGAGCTTGAAGTAGCAGAGCTTACATCAATTATTTTGCCGCGAGATAAATATCGAAAATAGGTTTGAAATGGTGTCGTTATTAAAGTGATTTCTTGAAAAAGTTATTTAAAATGATGGGATAATTGAAAATTAGTACCTACGTGCATAAATTTAAAAAAAAACTGGGAAAATTCGCACAGCATCATAAATTTAAAAATGGTGGGATAAATTCGCAAAGAAGCATGGATTTAAAAAATTGTAAAAAAAATTCGCACGGTAGCAAAAAATTAAAAAAAAAGTTTAAAATTAACAAACTTTTTAAAAAATTTCAGAATATTCAAAATTTACAAATTTTTTAAAATTATCAAGTTTTTTTTTAAATTTAATCAATCGCACAGGATTTCCCAGGAGTTGCTCACCGCTTTGAAGGTGTGATCTACGCATCCCAAGGAATCTAAGAAAATGGTTTAAAAAAATCTACCTTGGATATTTAAAAAGATAGGTACATGGAATACATTTTTCTTTAAATAACAACATTAATACTAATAAAGTGATAGTTTATTTCTTTAACATCAGGACAACAAACAACAATACTAAAAATTCAAAAATATATTTATAATTAACTTTTATAAAAGTATACTTAAACGTCAGACTCCCTGTCGGGGACTAATAAAACCATAAATTAAATCTTTGAGGAAAAACTAAACAAATATTGAAATTACATTGACACATGCACAGGGTAAATGACTTGCATTTTTAGGCATACTCTAAACACAACATACATATCAGGATACCCAGTAAGTATTAAATTATAAAAGTTATAAAAGTAGAACAGTTTTTAAAATACAGTCAATTTTCCAAATAATATGGAATTGACTATAAAAACTGCTTTACTTTCATAACTTTTAATGAGATTTTCAGATTCAGCGGACAATCTTACAATAGGATTGTTAAATGTCCGGGATACACTGTTCAAAATTTCATAACCATTTTAACACCAAATTAACACCATACATACAATACAAACCAAAACTTTACCTGGTGTAAATTAAACTCCTTTTCAGTGTTAAATATTAGTGTTTTTGTTCAAATTAAATCATACTACACAGAAAAAAAGAAAAAAAAGGAAACCGGAAGTTCCTTGACGCATTACTAGTATATTACCAGTGGTATTATTCCAGAAAATTGAACCTTCAACCAGTGCTGCCAACCCAAAATCTGTCTAGGAGGTAGATATAATTTTAAAAGTTGGAAGATCTACCAACTTTTAAAATTATATCTACCTCCTAGAAACTTTTCCAGCAAATCTTACTTTAAAAAGTTAGTAGATCTACTTACCACCTATATTTTTCGAGTATTCTATAGACTAAAGTAAGAAATATGGCTCTGAATTTATTTTTTATGGGTAAAAAATATTTTAAGTATTTTCATAAAAAATCAATAATAAAGCAGAATTACCAATATTCAAATTCAATAAGAATAGAAAAAAGTCAAAAATTAAATAACGAATTATCAAATTATAAATATACATTTGGTTTAAATTTATTAATTAAATATTTATAATCTGAAATTATTAAATTACGATATGGTAGATCATATTGTAATTTAATAGTATACAAACCAAACGCCTATTCATAATTAAAGGGATTAGAAGCAATAGGGCCCTAGGGCTAAGTGCATCTTTTCGAAAATGGAATAATAATGTGTAAAAATAAAAGAAAAAAGTATAGCTTCCTTAAAAGAATACCTAGATATTTTGATTGAATAATTTATATATAATGTTCTCCAGTAGGTGTAGGTTACTCAGCACTTTTGTTGATAAATGTAATAGAAAATAGAGGGCGCTACACTAGCGCGCTATTAACTTTATGAAATTTGGGAAATGTTCAAATATGGAAAAGTATAAAAAACAAAACAAATTATTACCACTTTTGCAGAAATTTAATTTAAAATCTTAAAAGTTGGTAGTATTTCTTACAAAGTAGTAGATTTGAGCAAGACACTAGAGATGGGAAAATTCCCATTTGACGAAAATTCCCGGAAACTTTCCATCGAAAATTCCCGAAATTTTCCGAAAGTTTCAAAAAAAATTTTTTTATTGCGAAAATATTTTTTTTTATGCCAGGGTTTTTTGTGATGAAGCTGAATAATCCGGCTTCATTGAGGTTATGTAACATAACTTACATTATTTATACTTCTTCTTCTGCCTTAAATTAACACATTAAATTCTTATTCAAAGTTTCTTGGCCTTGTATCATGGCCTTAACGAAAATCAGCGGTTAAACAATTGACATTTAAATGAAAAAAACAAGGAAAGTTTCCAAGGAATGTTTCCAAGGAATGTTTCCGGTAGCTTAAAAGAAACTTTCAAAATGAAAATAAATTCCCAATTGGAAACTTTCCAAAACGGAAAGTTTCCTTAAAATGGAAACTTTCCAATTCCCATCTCTACAAGACACTAAAAGTTGATAGATCTACCGAAAAGTTGGTAGAGTTGGCAACCCTGCCTTCAACTCGCTAGAGATAATGTTTTTACTGCGTTCCACCAACTTTAAATACTTCAAGTATTGACAGCTGTTTCCACCTATTTAAGGTCTCTTTAGTATCGAACAACTTGTAGTGTCACACCAAAGCAAAGGACTACCTGAGCTTATATACTCTTCATGTAAGTCAACAGAGGCGAGATTTAAGAACATCACGTGATCCACACCGCCTTTGCCACGATCGGTACATACTATGCAACCAGGAATGCACGGCAAATTGTTTTTACCGTTTTAACAGAGTGCTTTAGGTTGAAGTAACTCTTATTTTACAAACAACATATTTAGTAAACTGAACCATACAGCGGGTTGGTTTCACTAAAGTATTCTGGGTTAATTTAACCAATTTAAAAAAAATAAAATTACTAAGTGGTTTAGTACCGTCAAATTAATATTTGTTTATATTAACCTTCCACAGTTGATTCAAATAAATACTTATGGGTCAACTAAATTAATATAGTTAAATTAATTATTCCTTTTTTTCTGAGTAGGTGCACTTCTCAAATATTTTTAGACAAACACAGTTTTGGTGTTTGCGGTAATAACATTTTCAAACATAATTCATGGTGTTTATATTAACACCCTTGGTGTTGGATTTTGACACTATTTTAAGATTACTCTTTAAACCACAGATATTTTAAACAGTGTACAAATTGATCAAATTTGTCATTTTTGACTAATTCATTTTTAGAGAGCGGGTAGAATTTTGTTCAATCAATTTTCTAGGATTCTTGGGGGTCTTTAGATCATCTACCTTCAAGGTGGTGCGCAACTTCTGATATACCCTGTATAGAATACTTTTCTTCTAGCATTTTATCGCTTTTTCTACCCAGAGTCACGCCAAAGAAGTTTAACTTCTAACAGGCACCGGATTTTTTGTTGTACATTGCAATGCATTACTGGAATAATGCTAGTCCAGTTCTGCTACATTGAATTCAACATTTTTAATTTTTTTTAATAAAAGCTTTTATTGACATAAAAACATACCTTACTAATTCCGTAGTTTGAAACCTGTTTTATGGTTTTACGGTATCTACTAAATATTTTTTTCAAAATATTCAGTTTTGCCATTTGGCCGGTCAAATCTTTCTGCCTAGGACCATTAGTTAAGTAAATAGTAGTTTTATACAAGTGATGGCCTTATGCACAAAGCTTAGTTTTTTGGCCATAACAATTCTTGAAACATCTGTCCAACAAATATAAGCTATCCTTTGTGCATACTGCCATAATAAGTACAAATTAACTTTTGCTATAAATTAATAGGAAGTAATGAAATGTTTATTGATTTCCAATAAAGCAACCAATTTTAAGTAAACACCTCTCTAAAATATTCGTATCTACAAGCATTAAACATGGACTAATAACGTTTGGGTTATTAAAAGTATGCACAAGTTTCAAGAAGTGTTTAAACTTTATACCTATATTCATGTTTACATATTTTGTACACTAGTTACTAATTACAATTTAATCTACGAAACATTTAATGAAGTAGTATTATTAATGCTTGCATGCAATACTTAGTATTCTAATATTATTGTTCACGAAATTTTTTCATGGATCAAGTATCAAAAGATATCGCTTTCTTTTCTTCATAAATCATAATAAAGTAAACTTCGTTGACTAATGCATACCTACTTACATTTCATAAAATGTCGACTTTATGAAGAAGAAAATGATATTTTTCTCGTTAGGTCATTTTACTTAAAGTAAATGGATTTTATATTTACCAGTCTAATTTGACGTTGGAGTAAACTGTGACTGCCATTATTGTAAATTGTAAACACCTGAAAAAGATAAAATTACATTTTAATTTCTTAATGCACAAAAATGTATTAAAGTTACGTTTCACACGAGAAACATTCACAGGATAATGTAAAAATTTATCGACAACATTTTAAGGCTACATTTTAAATAACATAATAATTATTTTTATTATTTTTCTTTACATTTTGTTCAAATCAGACATTTCTTTAAGTTTTTGATGCGCTGAATTCTAAACCTACCTCATAATTCCTCCCCATAACGTCAGGTAATTTTAACCCAAAAGTTAAAAAAACTAAAATCTTTTTAAAATTGATCTCGAGACATCAAATCTAAGTACTAAATTCATTTAACGATTTTTTGAAAAGGAATGTGTTGAATGGTTTTGGCAAATTTTTAGTAGCGCTTTGGATTGCTTGTAAGTTTAGTTTCCTTGCCCAATTTATATCTTGAGTGTCAAAAGGTCAAAAATAATTTAAGATTTTACATTTTTGACAGGTCCTTATATTAATAATTAATTCTGCGTACGATATTAATGGAGTTTTTGAACCCTCGTCACCAACCGTTACGTTACCAATAAAAAATTTAATTTTTTTTATTTTTGGCATAGCGAAAAGTCGCAGTTGGCTAAATCTGGCAAATACATAGGGTGATTGAGCACTACGTTCCCTTTTGGGGTCTTTTGAAATGTCGCATTTTTAACACAAAATTTAATGACCTTTTTTCATTGTGATTTGCCGACCGAAACAAAATATCACTAGAATGTTTTATAATCTGTGTTAACCCAATTTTTCAGATAAAGAAACAATTTTAGTTTCATAGCTTTCTCTATGGTTTATAGTATGTTAGACAAAACTAAGACGATAAAGATTAGGAGGCTTTAAACAATTTAAAAAATACTTAAATTAATTTTTTTTCATAAACGTTTTTACCACTCAATGTTTATACTTTTTAAATTGATTTTTTCTACTCCCACATTTAAAACGCCCTTTATCGTAAATATTTTCATGACACTAAGTGACCTTTTAAATACACATTTACAAGTTGTGGCTTTATGGCGCTTTAGTCACGGGCTGAAGTTAGCAACAGGTTTTTAGTCACGGGCTGAAGTTAGTTTTAAGTTAGTTGACAGTTGTCAAATGTCATACAATCGTTAAAATAAAGTGCCTTTTTTGTAAAATAATACTAAATATGAAAATTATTTTATTATCTCAATACAAAAATACAAAAGTATTAAATAGTTTCTCAACGCCAATATTTGAAAAGTTTATATGAAGATTGTACTGACCTTTTAATTTCGCCAGCAGTAAACTAAAACTTAAATTCGGGCACGGAGTCCGTGCCACGGACTCCACTGTAAAGTCCTCATAAAACATTTTCTTTACTTTCATAGATGGCGCTCTATACAAATTTTTGATATAAATCATTTTAAGATAATAATAAGTATTTGTCGTAGAAAAAGTATAGTATGCACCTCGTTTATAAACTTTTCTATACACTCATTAATTTAAGCACTCGCTCGCAAGCTCGCTCGGGCCTAAATTAAATTCGTGTATAAAATGGCGTTTATCAAACTTGATACATAATATAAACAACCCTTCATGCGTATAACAGTAATCCACTTAATGAACTATTGTAAATAATCTTTAATATGCAAAATTTCGCTCAAAATAGTTCCTGGCACTTCTTATTAATGTGACAAAATAACCATTGCTGTTGTCAAAGTAGCCCGTGATGTTTTATTAGAAATTGATTAATTTTAAACAGTACATTGACGTTGATCTTGACACTGTATTAAGTGCATTAGTAGTGAATGGAAACTGTTTTATTTTCTCCGTGTAGGGAATTAATTCTACTATAGTAGGGAATAAATTCTACTATGTATGAGTATGAGTATAAGAACAGTTGATTTTTGGGGGCCTTGAACTGACCCAAAACTAAGTACAATCCGGACTCCCCCTCAATATAAATAATTCTACTATAGTATATAATTATAATTAAAATCCTCTAATAAACAAAATAAATAAATAATATTTTAGTTCTATACTAATCAATCCTTGTAGTGTATACATTAAGGTTTAGTATGCCGCATTCCTAATACGTAAATAATTTTATCACGCTAACCTGCAAAATATAAAATAACGAAAAAAGTTTCGTATATTGATGGTAATAGTACAAATAAGGAATATAAAACTTAAAAATGCATGAAATTATAATAACCTCTCTGGAATAAAAAACGTCAAATAAATTGTTTCGACAAAAAATTGTTAATGTTTGTTATATTTTAAATACACATTTACATTGACTGGGTTTCGTTATAAAAATGTAATACAATCGTCAAAATAAGGTGCCTTTCTTTAAAATAATAGTAAATGTAAAAAATTAGGGCGTATTTTAAAACAAAAAAAAATTATTCAACAGTTTCTTCAAGCCAATCTTGGTTTATATGCACCTTTGGACAGCAGTGGACCAGTGGCGGCTGGTGGATTTTAAGTATACCAATATCTCAGTTATTAGACATGGGACCCACACTGAATTTATAATAGTTTATATTGACATTAAATAAACAAGTTCGGCGCAAACAGAATTTAAATTGAAGTTTGCGAAAAAAAGTTAGTTTTTCCTGTCGCCTACCCTGCCTCCAGGCCCCCCTATTTGAGATAATTCAAATTAAAGTGGTGCAATTTATTCTCTACTATAATTTATCGACAAATTTAAAATTTTATTTAAAAAATCCAAATATTACAGTTTTTATACCATTTTAAATATTTTTTTATTTTAATAAAATAAATAATAAAAATTTAAAATCGAATAAAATCTGTAATATTTGGATTTTTTGAATAAAATTTTAAATTTGTCGATAAATTATAGTAGATAATAAATTGCACCACTTTAATTTGAATTATCTCAAATAGGGGGGCCTGGAGGCAGGGTAGGCGACAGGAAAAACTAACTTTTTTTCGCAAACTTCAATTTAAATTCTGTTTGCGCCGAACTTGTTTATTTAATGTCAATATAAACTATTATAAATTTGGTGTGGGTCCCATGTCTAATAACTGAGATATTGGTATACTTAAAATCCACCAGCCGCCACTGCAGTGGACACAAAATTTCGAACATCATAATTTGGTTGTCTTTGTAAATAGCAAACATAAAGGGTGCGCCATAAAAACCCCACACATTTCGAAGCGGAATTTCTCAGCATTGGAGCAAGCTAGAACTTATTTTGTGGTCTCATTTGAAAGAAAAACTCAAACAGTTTTTTTTGGTATGCTTTAGTATCTATTGAAGACAGGAGATCATTGAAAAAATTGTTTGTTTCGATTTTTAACTTCTTTCGGGCGACTTGTCACACGCCCAGAATATCCCTAGATTTTTTAAGTCAAATGTTCCCATTTCAAGAAATGGTGATTTATCAGGGCCACCAAGGTCATGTGACCTCACACCATGTGATTTTTCTCTCTGGGGATACTTGTATACGAATAACCCTCCAAATGTGGAGGAGCGCTGAAGGAGAACATCAGGAGACAAAGTGCCATTTCGCAGGAAATGTTACGAAACGTGATAGGAAATATCCAGACTCGGTTTGAAGATCGACGTAATCTTCAAAACATGTTGAGTACCCATAACACATCCTCTTCACTTTCACTGTAAAAAAACTGCTTCTTTATCGGATTTTAACAGTTGTTAGTCCATTTCAAAAGATAAATTTTAATATTTACAGAAAAATTTTACATTTTTTAAGCGGGTAAAATAGATTCACAGTTTACTCTATTTTTGTATAGATGTCGCTGTATACAAATATTTAAATTAATTAATATTTAATTGTTTTTTATACCTTATAAAATTTGTCGTGGAAAAAGAATAGAATGCAACTCGTTTAAACTTTTGACATTTTAAATTCGTGATTAAAATGACGTTTATCAAACTTGATACATAATATACTATGATATGATATCGACCCATGCAACGAAGACTATTGTAACTCAGTTTTGATTGTAGACTACTTAATATAGTTTTTTCCTGTAGGAATGTGGATTATTACACTTACTATACAGGGAAGTTGTTCACTGGTTGCCTATCGTTTCATGTCTGAGTTACTGTAATCTTCCACCAAATAGAGCTTGAAAAAATCTGTTGATGCCATATAATAAGTCAAAACCCACGTTTTTTGAGTTACTATAGTCTTCGTTGCATGGGTCGATATATTGGTCTCGTTTAAACGGTCATTGTGTAAACAGCTAGGTTTAAGTTATCAATAACATACCCTGAGGAACTTACAAGTACAATTTATTTAATCTTTTTAAGCCATGAAAATTATGATAACACAAGGTTCTACACCTAAAAGTCCCACCTTGAAATTTAAATACAAATAATTTAGGTTATTTATATGCCATTTTTATATTTTTTGAGTATAAGAGACGTATAACCGGCCCCATTGCCTCATCGTTCCCGGGCCTGGTTGCTGGTTGCGAATGTCCATTGCGTCCCGTACTGTCCCCTAATTAGGGCTAGAGAGCGAAATATCAATAGTTTTAGTAGCCATTCCCGGGTTCGAACCGATGCTATACGTCCAGTAGGGTAATGAAGGAGGTAGGACGGGAGGGATAGACAGTTTGGTGTTTGGGAGACAATTCTAAGTACGACGCGGTACCCCCCTAGACCAGGCAGTTAGTATTACTCCAAACATTTGGGATTACTGTATGGAGTTGTTATTTTGCTGCAGGAGCCTACGTCTTGGGCTAAGTTTTTGTCGTTATTGTTCGAGTCCAAGTAGGATTGTTCCTACACATGAGTCTTCAGTCTTGAGGCCGGAAACCGTCAATAGATAGTTCAGTAGCTGGATATGTAACTTGTAGCTTTTGATTTTTTTTTTAATTGTTTATTGCCGCAGTAGTGCGAAAAATCTAACAATTTTTTTAGTTATTGTGTTGCCCAAGCACGTTTTGTGGTAGAGTTTTTTTATTCCAAAAGTATTGCATTTATTTATTAGTTAAACAAATGACAAGCACAATTTTTCTGT